TTTTGCTATTATACGAATATTTTTATGTTTTTCAACTATTTTTTGGAATTAACGACTTTTATGTTACTACTGTAACAATATTATATTAAAATTACAAGTGATTTTGATTATTAGTTCAAAAAATATATATAAATATAAAAAATAAAATTTAATATCAAACTAAAAATTTATATGAAAAAATATTTTACAAAGATACAAATAACTTTATATCTAGTAAATCAAATTAAATAAAATTTTATTTACAATTTTGTCAAGTTAAGATACATTTAATAATATCAAAATTATTCAATTTGAATTATTAGATACAGAGATATTATGTTATAAAGATAATGGATCTAACTGGAATAAATTTTTTGAAGAAAATAGTTTTTTGTAAATATCTCCATATTCAATTAACCAAATTAACTGATTTGGATATCATCAGATTTATCTTATTTATATAAATCTAGTGATATTAAAATTATTCAATTTGATTTACTGGATGCAAATATTTGTAAAAATGATTTTCTTTATAATATTTTTTTATCCTGATTTTTGTACAATATTTTTTAAATATTGTTTAAAATAAAAGTTACATTTAATAAATTAAACAAATTAAAAGACTTTTTTCTAAATTTGTGATAAATTATAAGAAGAAATATTATTAAAGAAAAACAGTTCAATTTTTAGTTGCTTTAATCTTCTTTTATTATTTACTTCATATTGCAAAATCTATTTAAAATACCAGATTATTATAAATTATCTAATAATACTTAATAAAAAAACTTTGCAAAATATTATTATTACTAATTTATTTTAGATAATATTTTTATATTAATTTTATCAACCAAATTATTATTTGGAATTAATTTTTTTATCTATGTATTAATAAAAAATATTTAATATAAAAGTAAGTAAAGATAAAAAACTAAAATTTTCTAATATAAAAATATTATAAAAATATTTTTATTATCAAAATAGAATTATATTTTGAATAATTTTAAAATTATACTTTTTTATTATTATTATTATATGATTGCTTTAAAACTATAAGCTAATAAATTTAAAGTACTTTTCTAATATTTTTTCAGTATATTTTCAGTATATTTTAATGTTTATTTAATATTTTTATTAATTATTCTCTTTTCAGATTAAAATTTATACAAAATTATAAATAACAAATAAAATTATCATAAATTTGCAATTTAATAATCAGTAAGCTAATATTTCTTGTATAAATTACTATATTATAATATATATTAATATTTAATTTATATTATTTTTTACTAAATTTATATTAGACTTATTTTAGTTATTTTTAAACTGAGTTATATATTAATAAAATATATATATATCAAAAAAATATTGAATCTGAATTTGAAAAATAGAAATTTTTTGAAAAAGTGAAATATTTTTTTGCTCATAAATATTAAGAAGATAATTAATTCATATTTGTATTAGTATAATATATATATAATTTAGAAACTATTTAATATAATCTAAAAAAAGTTCTAGAAAATGAATTACAAGAAAATTATAAGTATTAGCTCAATTAAAAAGAGTGTTAAATTTTTGGTAGTGTCAAATAATAAATATTATAATTAATTAAGAAAATTATAAAAATAATATAATTAATTTTTGAAATAAATTTATTAGTAACTGAAAAAAATCAAAATATTAATATTTCATATTTCAGATCATTTTTTAATATTAATATTTAATATTTTTATGTTTAATCTAACAAAATCAGAATAAAATCAGATATTTCTAACAAATTTTTGATAAATAGAATAAAATTAGAAATAAATTTATTTATTAGTATTTTAAATATTTTTTATATTTGATCTGACTAAAACTAATAAAAATCAAATTCCAGATTATTTAATCTGACAAAAATTGAAATAACTTGATATTTTAAACTATTTTCTAATATAAATCTAATAAAAATCTTAATACTAATTTTTAACCAGCTTTTATTAGACTTAGATCAAGTTAATATTTTAGAAATAATCTGGGAAATACCTGAGATAAACCTGGAATAAGTTAGTTAAAAATTGTTATCCAGTTTATTATAGGCTTATTTCAGGTACTTTCCAGGTTAAATATTATTATTTTGAAATATATTTTAATATTAACCTGATCTAAGTCTGATAAAAGCCAGCTGAAAATTGGTGATAAGTTTTTATCAGGTTAAATTTCTGGAAAAAAAATGTGTTTTTTTTTTCACCAGACTCAAACGGAATCAGACTTTTTTTTGGAACCCTAGGTAGAGAATCCATTGTGTAAAATATGGATCCGAAACCAACTTACCTAAAACCTGAGCCATCCAAAGTCCTTTCGAATGATATCTATAGATATCAGCACAAGAATTAGAAACTAACGTATATTACTTAGTCTATTTCTCCCCCCAACCCATTGTGCACGAAAATCATCGATTACGTCTAATCACGATCCACCTGTGACAATACATGAATAGTATAGATTCAGTCATTCGGGGTTTAAATCTCGATAAATTTTTATGAAAATTGCTAAATTGGTAAATAGGTAGATTTCATAGAGAACATTTTTAATTAGTGGTTCAAATTAAGATCTGTCTTGGAAAAAAAGTTGTTCAATGTGAGAAATTTACTAATTGTAAATTTTGATTTAAATCACTATTTCACAAAATAATTTGTTATCTCATTAGTTTTAAAAAAAAATTAGAGGTCTCAAGGTTTCAAATAAACATTTTTTATTTGTTCGAACTAATAGTTATGGAAATAAAATTTTAGAAAGTTAATTTTCGTGTTCCGTTACCACTGTATATTGATATAGCTAGAGTTAATTGGAATGCTTATTCGCTTAAATAAAACAAGCAGATAAAAATCCACATAAATTGCAAAGAATAGGACGAAATGGCCTGGTATAATACGTATAGGTATGAAAAAAAGAGGTATCAAAAACGTGTGGTTATGTATACCATTCCTTGCAATTTCTGTGGATTTATATGTTTTTGCTTGTTTTATAAGTTAGATAAAGTATTTTCATATATCTATTCTTTATGTTGTAAAGTATAAATATTCGGAAGCGCGATGTTCGCCGTTAACAGTTTCGTGAACTGAAAAACTGAAGTTACTCAAAAATATAGTGACTAGTAAATTATGCAAAAACAATATACGAGAAATACTAATATGCATTGATTTTTCTATTAACAAGCTACTGTCTTATTTATCCTACCCTTCCGATCAAAGTACCCTCCTTAGTTTTTGGTGTACATTTCTGTTCAGGATCCGGATTGATTTTTGGCGGATACGGGATATGTCCGAAAGTCCACATCCGCACCCGTGTCCGCAGGACACGGATAAGTCAATCTCAACATAGGCTAGAACTAAAGTTCCTTTGCCGGAATTAACAAGTAATGTGTCAGTGTTAATACTAATAGGCGCAGACATCAAAGCCCTGGACATAAAAAATGCCGAACATATACGCGGACTGTCCCGTCCCGGTCTGTCCGTGTCCATGCCCCTGCCCCATGACAACACTAGATGGAGTATACTGTATAATAAGAAATCTATTTATAGTTCCGGCAGAAAGTAATGGCGGAACAATTTTCGTCATATAATTAACCTCCTTTTAAAAAACGATTAGCACGAAACAATTTATGGTGTTCTATTCATCTTTGATTCAAAATGTTTCAGAGTTGTAATACCTATCTCTATTTGGACGGAATTTTAGGTATTGTGACATAGCGATAGGTCGATTATTACGATACGCAAAATTTTACTATGTCACCTATTAAGAAAAGTAAACACTAAAGAGTGTGCAATTGAATTAATATCACCAACGATGCTAAATAATAGCACGTAAATCACATTCATGTATAATGCCTTACTCAGACATTTCGTAAGTAAAATTGTTGAACGTTATTATTTAAAAATTGCTCGATTTTTTTTTTAAAACCAACCGCCATTACTTTCCGCCTACAACTATTCTAAATGCATTTTTTTGAATTATTTCCAAATGTATTTGTTTTTTCTTTGCACAAATTTTCAAGTTTACAAAAGTGTTAGAAAAATCTGTTGTGTAAATCCGAAACTTGGAGTGTGTATCAAACAGCAGCATTGCATGACATCATACGTAATACGTACATGTTCTGTATTTAAGACTACATATTGTAACGAATAAGATCGTACATGTGATACATGTATCGGTATAGCGTGTGCTTTGAATCTTGAAATTAACGTCAAGTGCTAAGCTGATTGATTTTAATAAATGTATTTTTCTATGTTAATTTAATACAGTATACATGTACTAGTAAACTGAATAGTTATTTACAAATCATTAAATATGTACGTTTTTTTAATCAAAATAACGGATTTGAATGTCCATCTTCAGTAAATTGCATGATTGTCTCCGGAGAGTATTTTGTGTCTTGCACAAAATATCTGATTTTGAACTAGCTAGGAATCTTGTGGTCTGCATATGTACTGTACTCTTATTAATTATCATTATTCTATTTCCTTTTGAAGTCAATGAAAAATTCCTCTTTAGTTTATTATAACGCCTCATTGTCGACCCCTTTTGTTTGTTGAAAAATTCTGTGAGATAGTAAACAAGGATAACAATTATAAGGCTTTCTGACGGCAAAATTGTGCAAGTCTTCGATATAACTAACTCGTCCGTTCCGCTAGTGAAAATTTACAAATAACCTCCCGTATCGAGGTTTCATTAAAAAATCTGTTATATCGAGAGGGATTTATCAACTATACCGAGATTTTCTTATAGTCTATGTAGTCCTTAATCACTTTATCCACCAATAAACAATGGTGATGTTTGTTCCAAAAAGTAAAAAATAATTTTCCTGTTGTACATATGGGCTAAGTGCAATAAAAAACTGCGAAAATTGTATTATAAATTCTAATACAATTTACACCGTTTCTATTACTTTCAGTCCTTATTATTTTATTTATTGACACAAAAATAAACATAACCTAACGGAATAGTTATAGTAGACATGCTTCAATTAACCGAATTTACTGAAAAACTGGATTTTTTTAAAATTTTTAACTACGGTGCTTCAGTTTAACAGGCGGATTTGGATTATCTACGTATACCGATACGTATACTGTAATGGTGTTATTTTATTAAAATAAGTAGTCATGTGTGCGTGAATTGTGCGTGAAATTTACATTTCTCAATTAATCCAAAATTACATGAGTGAAATATTTGGTAACAAAAAAATATGGTACCTTTAAGTTATCATTCCTTAAAAATTTATTTAAACCGATTTTTGTGTATATATTTTTTGATAACATTTTATTATTTTTAGAGATTTTATATATTGTGTCATTGAAAAACTAACTTTGAAAGATATCATTTGTTCGTTCTTTATTGTACCTTTTTGATGATGTAAGTCATATATTTTACCACTTTACTAACTTGCATATTGTATACAGACTGTCTTGAGTTATAATGAATGTAATTAAGTAAATAGAATAGTAAAATATATGATTCACATCAAAAGATAGTGATAAGAACTTCAATTCCCAAACAATATTTTGAATAAAATCGTAATAATAATTGTAATAGAATAGAATACTTGTAATTGTAATTGTAATTGTAATTGTAATTGTAATTGTAATTGTAATTGTAATTGTAATTGTAATTGTACATGTACATGATATGTAATAAAGTAATAGAATATAATAGAATAATCAAATAAAATTTAGTTTTGTTTTAATATTATAATTGGATATAAATAATTCTAGTAGAAATTTGCATAGGACTTGGATACTTGAAACTCTCTTTTTTATTATTTCACATTATTATCTCTTAAACCATTTTATTGTAAAATAATTAGTTATAGGATTTTGAGCGTTAAAATAAGAAAATTGAAAATTATAAATGCAAGCAAAAATGTAAGATAAAATATTTTAGCATTTAATTTTGTATACTAGATAGTTTAAAAAATAATTTAATTTAATTTTCTAATTTTTGTTTATATTTATAAGCTAATTAGTATATAAGTATATATAAATTATATAAATAATAAATATCTAAATTATTTGTTATTTATTATTATTTCTAAAATAATTAATTAGTATCTATTATAAATTCAATACTTTACCAAAAATAATTTAGCAAAATAATTAATAATATTAAAAAGTTTTATTCAAAAATATAGTTAATAATAAATAAAATATTTCACTTGAATTATAATTAATAAAATTTTCTAATAGCTTTTTAGTTAATATTAAAATATTTTTAAAAAATATTAGTTTTGTAATATTTCAATATTAAGTTAGTATATTACTAAAAGAAATTATATAATTAATATATTAATTAATAATTAAAATAAATTAGAAATATAATTAAAAAAATAACTTCAAATTAAATATTAAATTAAAATAAAAAATTAGCAACTTTAAAATATGATTTTGTAAATTATCTAATTATTTTTGTAAAAGTAACTATATATTCCTACACTATATTACTGGAAATTGAAAAAAAAATATAATAAAATTAACATTATTGTTTTATATTAAAATTTGTTATTTTATTAATAAATATTTTTTATTTTTATACTAAATAAAGATGGTAATTTATATTTTTAATATATAATTTTCTAGAATATTCTAGAATTTTTAGAATTTTTTGTTCACTTGTAAACATTGAAAAAAATTTTTTTATTAATTAAAATTGAAATATTGCAATTTGAATTTTAAAATTTTTTTTTGTGTTTACAAATAAACAGAAAATTCTAGAATATTCTAGAAGAATATATATTAAAAATATAGATTACCATTTTTATTTTAGTATAAAAATAAAAAATATTTATTAATATACTAACAAATTTTAATATAAAGCAATAATATCAATTTTACTATATTTTACTATGTTTTATTTTTAATTTCCAGTAATATAGTATAGAAGTATATATTTAATTAATAAATTTTAATAAATTTTAATATTTAATATAATTTTATTTTAAAAAAATATTTATTTAAAATAAAAATTTTTTGCATTAAATTATATCTAAAAAATATATATTAAAATATAATTTATAAATTTTATTTTGATAAAAAAATAAAAAATATTTATTAATAAAATTATATATATTTTATTAGTTATTATATACTTTTGAAATTTTTTGAATTTATATATATTAAAGTTTGTTTTTTAATATTTTTGTTAATAATTAGAAAATAAACTTAAAAAAAATTCAAAAAACTATATAATCAAATTTTCTATAATTATTACTTTTAAAAAAGCAAAATTTGATAATTATAAAGAGAATATTATTACTATAGTAACATAAATTTCTCTAATTTGATAATCTTTCTTTGCTTATATGAAATTTTCTTTTTCTTAATTTTTTACTATTTATTACTGGATTATTATTATTTTTATCCAATCATATAATTATCTCACTTTTATTTTATTACCCTAAATCTTATATTTATGTTCTAAATATTATATTTATTCCTTTTTCTTATTTCTATATACTTTTATCAACCTAAATCTGAGATTTATAATTTCAATCATAAATATCCTACATTAATATTAATGTTTTATATATATAATTATATTTAGTAATACTGTATAGATTAAT